TTCTTATTATGGAGTGGGTATTGCCTCAACACCTACAAAAAAAAAAAAACAAATGTCATGGCTGCCATCAGGATGACTTCAACTTACATTAACAAAAAGATAGCTTCAACTTCAATTTAACAAAAATATAACTTCAACTTCATTTAATTTATATTATATAACTATACTACAAAGCAAACCTACAGGATGGCTTCATCTTCAATTTAATTTATATAACCATAACACAAAAGAAAACTTATAGTATGGCTTTATCTTCAATTTAATTTATATAACCATACCACAAAAGAAAACTTACAGGATGGCATCAACTTCAATTTAATTTATATAAGCATACCACAACAGAAAACCATCAGGATGGCTTCAACTTAAATTAAATAAAAGTTTAAGTTTCTTACCTGCTTCTTAAAGTTGTCGACTAAGTGTCTCAGACAGTAAGCATGATGGCTACCAGGAAAAACCATAGGGATGGCTTTAAGTAGCCCACTATGTCGGTCCGTAAAAAATGTGAAGCTTCTAGAAACAGGTATGCGCGAGGAAATAAAAGTACTGTTGAGCTTCAAGCAAAACCACTCCCAATTTTCATTGGTCTCGGCATCAACAACGACATATGCTATAGTGAACAAATCATCATTCACATCCTTACTCACAGCACTAAGCAAAACGCCTTTGTATTTATTTTTGATGTGAGTGCCATCCAAAAAAATCAATGGTCGACAACCGGTTAAAAAACCGACAAGGCAGGCATGGAAGCAGATGAACAATCGGCGAAACTTATTCTCCACAGGGTGAATCTCGCAGTCGGCAATGCTTCCAGGGTTTGTCTCTCGCACTGCACTACAATACCATCTCAATCTATCGTAAGATCTCCTGTCTGCGCCATGAATATCTTGCATGGCAAGCTCTTTCCCTAACCATGCCTTTTTGTAAGGCAACTCCAAGCCATACTCCCTGTGTAGATCTTTCAATATCGTGGTAGGCTTGTAACTCGGTTCATCTCTCAATTTGTCTTTGATTGTACTTGAGACCCACATGGAGTCTACTTTCGGATGCCCCCTTGTCCGAAGATTGGACAATCCACAAGTATGAACTATATTGCATTTGTGGATGGCAAACAATTGATCACCTTTTTGTAATGATGCATATATTCTCCATTCACAACCCGAATCGCTACAACAAACGATGATCTTTTGCTTGTCATTTTTTCGATACTTAAAGGACCGCTTATTTGCAATCGCGTAATTTTTAACGCTCTTACGAAATTCGTCGGCCCCAATAAATATCTACCCCTCTCCTTTGATGCAAGATCTCCAAGAATCAATCGATTTATCTTGCAACAGCTTATGTTCTCCATCCGATAAATCATCATACGGTACGATTTCCCTACAAAATAATACAAAGATTTATAAATAATGGAACTAGCTCAAAAATTAATGAAAAAGGATATGATACGACTATATCATATTTTAATAATAAATTGATTAATATTATGAAAGCAACATTACCTGCTCATGTTCATCGGGAAGGATTGAACTCCATCGTCCGTTCTTTCGTTTCTTTCAAGGGCAAGCATCTCGACAATATTCACTTTCCAACTAAAATGTAACCGAATCATGTTCTTCACATCTCATCATCCAACAAACTAACTCTCTTTTTTTCCTTTGGCGCAATATAGCAAAGCACGACGGATTCGAAATTAACGTTCAGCCACCTCTTAGATATGAAAGTGTACACACCGTCAAGCGTTAATCCAATGAGCATAGAGAACACAAACAATTCATTCTTGTACGTACAACTCCCTATTATTTCACTTTGTGCCCCTTCCATGTATCTAACAATAATTAGGTAAATAAAAAAATAAAACTTCACATTCCCAGATAAATGTGGTACTAAACAGTATTAATGTGGTACTATATACATTCAAACAGAGGTACAATAATCAAGAATAGTGGTACAATGATCATTCCCACGTTATTTTCTTGTTTTAGGGTGAAAAACACATTACATAACCTAACAAAAGCATCAATTTCGTATACATGAACAACAATTTTTTTATCAATTTAATTGATTTAGTGTAAGATTTAGGGTAAATATTAACAACAATATTCAAAATTCAATCCTTAACAAATTAACCAAAAATATATGAATTAAACATGATTTTTGGACTCCAAGATCCTCATATAATACATATTACTTCAAATTTTGGCCGAAAAAACCACAAATGATGCCGGAAAAAGATTCAAATTTTTGCTTGATTTGACTTCAGAATCACTTGTTTGGCCGATTTTGTTGCTGCCGGATTTCTTCTCGCCGGATTTCGTGTCGTCGGAGACCAACCTACAAAAAAAAAAAAGAAAAAGGAACGGTCGCCGGAGGGAGATCGGAGGGAGACGGGAGGGAGATGGAGAGAGTGGTGTGTTGGGGAAGAAAGAACACTCAAATAAAATAATATTATGTGTTAGGATTGGTGGAGATAAAGTAATAATAAAATAATATGCTAGTTGATTTTAGTGGGATGATTTAATAATTGATTTTGTTTTTAACTTATTTTAAAGGTAGTGAGTTAGAAGGAAAATGATTATGGGGGTAGGAAGTTAGAAGGAAGAAATTTTGATGAGGGACTGAGAAGGAAGTGAGTTTTAGCTTTAGGGATTTTTGAGGAACTTTCCCATTTAAAATATCATAACAACTAAATATATCACATTTTTAAAATTAACTAAACCAAACTGAAAAATTCAAACAAAACCAAAACATCTTATATCTAAGTATCCTCTGAAGTGTTTTATGATTTTAAAAGTTTAATCTACATTGTATACTTTGAAGTATAAGAAATTGACATATGAGACGCCATAATTTGGTACATAATTAATAAGCACCAGAAATCGACAACTTAGCGAGACATTCTACATTTATATTTTGGGGATAACTTATCAATCTATTTACTAAAACTGCAAGAGTCACTAAGAAAATAACTATGCATTTATAATATTGTGAACGTATTAATACTTTTAGACATGATTTATCCCCTTACAACTAGACGTGGATACGATTAGAACCGGCTCTGCAACAATTTCGAACCGGTCTGGTCAAAACGTTGATCGCGGGCCTAGAACTAGCCTGTGGTTTTACTTAAGTCAGTTCGGGTTCATGCTTTTTAATAAAATTTAAACGTTGGTTTAGTTTTCGCACAGTAACTAAAACCAGAACCGATGGTTTGACACTAATTCTAAATTAAAAGTTGATTTTTTTATTTTTATTTTTATTTTTTTTTCTATTATTTTAATTTTTTATTTATGATTTCTCGAATTGAGCATGAACCTTCAAGCCGGTTCTAAATTGGGACCGTCCGTTCATTGAATCGGCCCTTAGTCTTTCCGGAGTTGGTCGATTCTGAATTGACGAACTTAAAACGGGGATTCCAAATTGGAACTGGTCTGGAACTAAATTTTTGTTACATCTACTTACAACATGTAATGCAGTAAATATGTAAATTATGTTACTTATGTAGTTATGTACGACTTGTGTATATATAATATAGGGAAATGCTAAGATCCCGTTACGGAACTATTCCATCGGGTTTGTAACCGTTAAATCAACATGTAATCGTCAAAGATAGTTGATCTAACTAGGGGCGGAGGCAGGATTAGAAATCTATCCGGGCTAAATTTATTTAACCAAAAATAAAATAGTATCTCAAAATATCACATAAGGCATTATTTTTAATGTGCTTACTGTAAAAGTTGACTAAATTTAAAAAATCAAAATTAAAAACAATTAATATGAAAAATGAATGATATAATTTGTTGTAAGTTATGTTGTCATTCAATATATATTGAAAAATCTATTTTAAGTTTGCAAATAAGATCTTAAATTCTTGAAATACAAAAATAATAAAAGAAGGGTTTTGGACTTGATCAAATAAATAATACTAAAATAATAAAAGAAGGATTATGAAGCACAAAAAAATATAAAACAAGTGATATCAATACAAGTTAAATAAATAAATCCGCAATTATTTTCAACAATCCATTACCAAATTTAAGATTGGATTTTAAAAGCCATTTGAGCTTCTTAATCGAGTGGAACGAAATTAAATAATAAATAAAGAAAATTTACACATGCAAAACAAGACCATTTTAATTTGTTAGCAGGATTTCCATTATTTAAGAATTTGTATTAAACTCATTTTGATATCCATTAGACTCGTGAGAATTTGATGGGGTTGATGAATTTTTGTTTTTTATTTTTACTTCCACTACAAAAGCTATAGAAAAAATACATTGGGTATTTAGAGTCCACCGAGCTGAATCCCGGCAACCACATGCCTCCGCCTCTAGATCTAACGGTTACAAATTCCGACGGAATGGCGTCATCATAGGACTGTAGAATCTTCTTATAATATAATTAAAAAAAAGTATAACACATTAACGCATGCATAACTTTTGTATGACAATCATTTTATACTTGTTAAAAAAAAAAAAAAAAAAAAAAAAAAAAAAAAAAAACTCTTAGAGCATGTTTGTTTATGAAAATTTTCAAAAAAAATTTCACACTTTAACTCAACCACTATTTTAACCCAACTTTAACTCAACTCAACTATCAAAAATTATTATCAATATAATTAAATCAATCAATCATTCACACACCACATCAACCTTAATTCACTATTCATCCACTCATATAATTTTAATTAACCATCATATCAAACCATCTCTCCTACTTTTATATCAAATAATTTTCATTATTTTATTTTAAATATTATTTTAATATACACTAACAACTAACCATACCACTTTTTTTCAAAATTAACCAAACCAAACTGAAATATCCAAACAAAACCAAAAATTTATATAAACAAACATCCTCTAGTATCCATCAGTATTAAATCGTATATAATTTTTGTATGGCAATAATTACATGGTGTAAAAAAAGAAAAATCTTTAATATCCGATCAACCCCGGTAATTCATAAAATAAAAAATTAGTCCATAGAAAAAAAAAATTCTAAAATAAGTTTCCATTAAGCCAATTCTCAATAACAGATAGCAGAGGAGCAAGTTGTCCAGTCGGGTCGGATCTCGAAAACCCATCGCACTGAAATGACGAAGTTTCCAAATTAGACCCAAAGAGGGCCTTGTAATCAATATTGACTTTGGCCTCATTTTGAGCATTTGAAGATAATCTTTCTTCCATTGGTGTTGTTGTTGTTGTTGGGCCATTTTTCACCCAATCTTTCAACAGCCTTTTTATAGTCTGTGTGCTGTATGCGTAATTTGAAGCTGCCGGCTGGGCATAGCCGCCATTCTCGGGCCGAAGAGCCCGATTGATTGAGTATGGATCCTCCGAGTAGTACTGACCCGACCCGTTTCCCACCAATTTGAGCTTCTTCTTCAGATAGGTATTCCAGTAATTTTTTATGTCGTTGTCGGTTCGTTCAGTAAGATAAGAAGCTATGGCGGCCCATATGCACACATGTAAAATAATCAAAAACTAATAAACTAAGCAAAATAAAACGAAGAGAAACACTAAAAAAAACGAATAGGCGCACAATTAAAGTCCTTAACCTTCCCCGGCAACGGCGAAAATTTTATTGTCAGTATTTTTACCAGAGTAGAATCGAAAGATTCGTTCCTCGGGTCATATCGCAAGGAAGGTTAGCCGGATTTAATCGTACGTTTATTCGATCACGGAAAAGAGAAAATCCTGCACACTCTAATCAATAGTTTTGGGGTTTCAGATATCAACTACGAATTTAAACTAACGCAAAGCAAATTAAATGGCTAGACGATGAAAAACAGTATAAATGGCAGAATAAATTCACTCAATGATTAAACAGCTAGGGAATCGGGGATAATTGCTTTCGGTTCTAACACAACTACCGGGCAATCAATTGCTCGGTTAAAGGAATTGAATCGTTTCTCGTTCAGAGATTCACTCTCAATAACTCTTCGTAACAAGAGAGTGAATGTAAACGATCAACTATCAGTTCCAACAACACATAGACAATACGTCTCCGAACTAGTCTATCCTAAACGAGCCTAAATCGACCAACGTCTCCCCTCTCGGTTTTACACGTTGATTGATTAGGTTAGACAGGTGATCAATCTACTAACCCTAAAATAAGCACAACTCGAATAGGCATGAACAATAAAAAACAAACAATCATTATCGAACTTAATCAATCATCCCCTATCCCTAGCGTATGGATTTAGCTACTCATATGGAATTCAACATCAAAATTCATATAAACACAAGCCATCATCATCAACACACAATTGAGAAAAGAAGAACTTGCGATTAATAAAGAGAACCCCAATGTCAATCCAAGCTAGAAAACAGAGTTTCAATCTCCAAAATCCAAAAAAAAGAGCAAAAGTATGAAAAGGAATGAGTTCCTCCAGAAAAAAAAAAAACGTAAAAACAAAGTCTAGAAGTTGAATAATCATTCCTAGGTTCCAATTCTGGTGTAAAAATCCCGACCTCGAAATTCGCGCCGAGTAAGTCGCGAGTCGCGACTTCCACTTTTCCTAGGTCTCGAGTCGCGACTTCTCGCGAGTCGAGCGTCGGCAAAAAACTTATACTTCTGGGGAAACTCACGACCTAACTCGTGAGTCGCGACCCGAGCTCGCGAACAGCATCTTCAGCCTCTGTTGAGCTCGCGAGTCTTGACCTTCTCGCGAGTCGCGACCATCTCGTGAGTCGCGAATCCACTCGCGAGTCGCGAGAAATTCTGGGCACACCTCCAGTTCATTTTTTCGGTCCTTTCTTCAGCTTTCTGAGCTCCACGACGGGTATTCTCGACATCACGCTTTCGGCTCAAGTAGTCCCATCATAGACCGGCATAACCTACCTCCAGAAAACACAAACATGGAGAAAAACACGAAGCAAAACACGGCAAAAAGACGCACAAATAGAAACTAAAGAAAAAAATACAAAAACCACAGAATTGGACCAAATAAACTACTAAAATCCTAGAAGTGGGAGAAAATAAAAGGGAAATAAAACCAAAATAAAGACACAAAAATGGGACAAACACGGACGTACAATAAAACTGACCTCATTAAATTAGTCGGGCAACACACTTTCTTTCGCCAAATCCTGAAGTTGATTTGGTACGACCAATATTCCGGCAAGGTACAACACCTACCGGCAAAAGGTCAGACTCGACGAAACATCGAGGTAACATCATTTATTGAGCATTAGTTCTTTACCCCACGTGTTTATCATATATCCACGTATTCATACATACATTCATCATATACGCGCGTCATACATACATCTTGACATGAAAACTTCTTTTCCAAACCCTGAAGTTGGTTTGGCATACGCCCATTCTTTTCTAAACCCTGAAGTTGGTTTGGCGAGGCTAACGCCCTCCACAAAATTACATCATAAATCGGGAACACACTACCCGATTGCGCAATAATTAAATAAAAATAAGACCTAAGACCAGATATCGAGTTATCTGATCAGGTCCATCTTACGAAGAAAAAACAATCACAAAATCAAAAATCGCGTCGTCAGAATACAACAAAATTGCGAATACGATATACAATTCGAGGGGCCCGAGTGCCCACACAAATACATACTATTATCATCATTATAGAAGCAAATTAATCAAACGCTTCACACTGCATGCAAAACGCCCAAAACGGGTACGAAATAACTCGCCTAGGCCGCTCAGGCCCTATTCCAGTAACAATTACAATAAATGGGCTATTTATGCCACGATTTGATTTGTCCGACAAAAAAATGACTAGCTTTAATACGTCAGGCTGAAGCCTGAACACGATCAATAGAGCGACCACGAGTCTCAAAGCACCTGGACAGCGTCCATACACAGCATAAAGAGCCTTAAACGTGAACATGTGATAAAGTAGAAGTCAGCCAAAACTGACTATACATGCGACTTCAGAACAGTTCTATTCAGAACAAGTCCTAAAGTCGGGGGCCTACTGTTGATACCTAACTTTGGCCTTGCCTATTAAGATATTACACGTGGATACATCAAATCACGTGGATATGTATTAAATCATTTGTCGTATTTTATCTTATTTTTAAAGCCCCAAAATAGCACCGCTTGTAATAATATCGGGGCCGACAAAAACGAATATAAATATCCCCCTACGATGGACAGGAGATAAGCCTGAGGGGCACTATTTTATCTGATATATTTTCTCTCTCTCTCTTCCACCGCCTAAAAGAGGGGGGAGATAATCATGTTCTTACACCCCCTTCTTCAATTTTTATTCATTCAATATAAACAACAAAATACTTAAAAATTCGACGATATACAGACAACTCTGAATACCCCATGTTGTTACAATTTCGTATAACAACATCGGGCAACCCATAACATGCCTCCACCCATAGATTTAACGGTTACAAATTCTGACGGAATGGTTCCGTCACGGAACCGTATAATCTTCTTATAATATAATTAAAAAAAATATCACACATTAACTCATGCATAACTTTTGTATGACGATCATTTGATACTTGGTAAAAAAAAAATCCTTAATATCCATCAGTATTAAATCGTACATAATTTTTGTATGGCAATGATTACATGGTGTAAAAAAAAAATATATTTAATATCCGATCAACCCAGGTAATTCATAAAATAAAAAATTAGTCCATAGAAATTAGAAAAAAAAATAATAGTAATAATAATCTTCTAAAATAAGTTTTCATTAAGCCAATTCTCAATAACAGATAGCGGAGGAGCAAGTTGTCCAGTCGGGTCGGATCCCGAAAAACCATCGCACTGAAATGACGAAGTTTCCACATTAGACCCAAAGAGGGCCTCGTAATCAATATTGACTTTGGCCTCATTTTGAGCACTTGAAGATAATCTTTCTTCCATTGGTGTTGATGTCGGTGGTGGGCTATTTTTCACCCAATCTTTCAACAGCCTTTCTATATTCTGTGTGCTGTATGCGTAATTTGAAGCTGCCGGCTGGGCATAGCCGTCGTTGCCGGGCTGAAGAGCCCGATTGATTGAGTATGGATCCTCCGAGTAGTACTGACCCGACCTGTTTCCCGCCAATTTGAGCTTCTTCTTCAGATGGGTATTCCAGTAATTTTTTATGTCGTTGTCTGTTCGTTCAGGAAGATAAGAAGCTATGGCGGCCCATCTGCACACACGTAATTATTTAATTACTAATATAATACTCGCCTAGTTGATAAAATAATGAAATGTATAATCAAAATAAAAAAAATAATATATATTTTATTGAAGATAGAAAAAAAAATACATAACAATATATACTAATTTATAATAAATAATTAAGTGAATTAACAATATTATTTTAAATTCTGAAAGCTAATTTATATACGTTTTAATTTTATTTATAATATTTTATTTAAAACGCATAAAGGAATAATATAAACAAAACAAAAAATTTAGAAAGTAAGATTATGTGCATGTTGTAGAAAGAAGATAATAAATCAATTTATATGGGATGATTTAAATATATTAAATATGTGTTTTTATATATGGTATTTCGAACTTAAGTTATTTAATGTAAAAAATTAATATTTTTTTTCATCTAAGCCATATTACAAGACATAAAGATTACGAAGCGAAACTGCCACCTAGGTTGGCGTTCTGATTCTGATATATATAATAAAGGGAATTAGGCCCTGAACTAATTTTTTTTTAAAAAAAAAATGTCTTGAAAAATAGTCATAAATATATATATAAGGAAAAAAATAATTTAATGTCTTTGATCATTGGTGAAATCTAATTATCTGTGAGATAGTGAATTACAGCAGCTATTTGTTATGAAGGAGAACATTTAATTTAATTTACAGAGAAAAATGGAGGGAATAAATAAATTAATGAGTACTTACTTGTTCCCCAAAAGAGATTGAAGCTGGATAATCATCTTCTCTTCATGATCATTAAAAGTGCCCCTCTTAATTCCAGGCCTCAGATAATTAGTCCATCTCAGCCTGCAACTTTTACTGCATCTTCTCAGCCCTGCTCTCAATTTATCCACAACACAATTGTAAGAATAAATTAACAACAAATGGCTTAAAAAGATACCTCAAAATTAGTGATTATCAATTTTAGTCATGTTGGTTTGATCCAATGACGTTTTTAGTCCTAAGAATTGATCATTTTTGCTATGTCGTCCTCTCATTTTACATATTTTTGCAATTTCAGTCCTAAAGGATTGAAATTGCAGCAAAATACTAAATTACAGGATCATAATTCAAAAAATTAAAATCTTGGGAATAAAAATACTACGACGTTAAATCAACAGGACTGAAAATACAATTTTGACCTAAACACAAAATAATAAAGAAGAAAATAATTGAAAATAGTTGACCTGTTTTAGTAGGAACAGCCCTCCAATTGGCAGGGCCATTTTGTTCAACATATGAAATTAATAAGGTGTCCTCTTGAGGAGTCCATGCTCCCTTTTTCACTCCAACTTTATCACAACATGGTGGCCTCCCCATAATATCATTTCCTTATAATTTAGTGTTGTAACGAAAAAATAAGATGGATTTATATAACAAAGAAAAAGTGACGTGTATTAATTAATAATAATATATATATATATATATAGCGTTTCACTAAAATGTTGGCACTGATCTAATTAGAAACAAAAGACTAAAAGAAGAAGAAAGAAAAAACAGGAAAATGATTCAGAAAGTTAGACAGGGGGATTGCGCAGTTGCTTCTTAGTGGATTGCCCTAAGATCAACTACGAATGGTTTAGTTTCGATTTCAGTATTGTGGCTTAATATGGTAATTTTGATCATTTTTAAACGTATATTTCATCCGTTTTCTAGTGGCAAAAAAAGGGTCATTAAAATGTTTCCGTCCAATTGAATGCAACTGGAAGATCGCCCACCTCGTTTATTTCCCCTAAAAAAAAAAAAAAAAAAAAA